AATGTAAAAATACTCAAAAACGTAATATTCAATGAAAGAACCAGACACCAAATAACATATCGAGTATGTAGAAAGTCCAAAATCAAGTAAAATAGAACTCTGGCATTTGGAGATATAAACTGAGGTAGTAAGATTGTGTTTAAAAGCGAAGGAAGTGGCCCAGCCAGCAGTGTTGTGGTTAAAGCAGCTGTTTCCCACATGGCTGACTACATGGTTCAAGTTCCAGACTGGGCAACTTGAAAAAACATGATGGCACGTGTGGCTGCATACCCAAAGTCCTGAGAGGAGAAAGGAGTAGAAGGGCTTGCAGCAGGGCCATCCCCCCAAGGGGTGCTTCATCATCACCCCTCTCCCTCTCTCTCTCTCTCTCTCTCTCCTGTGAATGCACATGCACTATCCAAACTAAAAAATAAATTTAAATAAATTTTAAAAAGCAAGAAGTGAGGATAATAAAGTCAAGGTGATGCTACGTCTGAGAGGACAGAAGGAACCATTACAGGAAAGGGGCACGAGAGAACTTCTCAGGGGGTTGTCTTTTTTAAATTTTTCTTTATAATTTGCCACTGGGCTCATGCACTTGCCAGAGAGAGACAGAGAGACAGGAGGGAAGGCGAGAAGGGAACCCCACCCCGACTGCCAACATGCAGGACACCATAATCCCTTCTCCTTCATTTCTCCAACCTCTGGGGATTTGGGGTATGCACATACACATACCCAGCGTGTTTCTCAAGCCACCCGGTCTGGGACACATGAAGTCGGCCATATGGGATCTAGCCGCCATAACCACCGCACTACCAGTTGGCCCAGACTGTCCTGGGACATATGTATGATTGCTCTGTGCTAAATCATTGGACTGGACTGTTAGCATGCACTTTTCTGAATGGGTGTTATATTTTACAATGAAATAGTTGAAAGAAAAGCAAATAATTGGCACGTACCGGCTCTTTATTAGAGGTAGCCTATTTGTCACACAGGTTACCATCCCTGTGTGACAAACAGTCTCCTTATCTCCCAAAATAGCAGGTACTTTAATGACACTGTAACTTTTCCAAGGAAAGGAAAGATCATGGATGCTGTCCTCCAGCTCAGCCCTGAGCCATTAGGGCACAAGGGACTATGTGGGAGACCCTCCACTGACAGGGGTCTCCTTAAGCAGGATGGTGGAAGAGGATGGGGTTGATGGCAGGCAAGGATCTGGGTGTAAAGTCAAAAAAAGCACCAGGAACATCTGCATTACAACTGTCTATGACCCTATCTTTCTGCTGGCCAACTATAAACCACTAGGGGCAGATTTGTGCCCAAATCCATTCTTTGCCCAGCCAGCATAAGAGCTGGCACAGACTCAGTACTTAGTATGTATCTGTTAAACTATGACTTAAACCCAAAACTAGATAAATATTGTTTGTTTTCCAATATTTTAAAGCTGGAACTATAGAGATGAATGAATCGTGCCTCCCCATCGTACAGAAGGGAAAACCGAGGCTCAGAAAAGGGAAAATGACTCATCTAAGTTCACAGAGGAAGTCAGTGACTGAATCTTGGTTTGCCAATGCTTAGATTTTTGCCACCACCCCCACTCCCACTTTTGCTACCAACAAGCTTACAAGAATTCACTTATCAACAAATCCATTATCTGTAGATTGCCTGTATTCCACCCTTATCTAAGGTTCCTCGCCCTGGCCCCACGATGGCATTCAGAGACAGTAGGGGCAGTGGAACCGGAGACCTGGAGGTACAAATGGATCTGGCATTCCCAGCTGGAACTCAGAATCCATTTCCTCAGAGAAAAACAATGAACTATGCGGCTTATAGCTTTTGAGTGACGAGCTGTATGCCAGCTCTCTACCAGGCTGGCCAGAAACTCTACCAGGAAGCCCAACCAGATCTTCAGCCTAGATGCTTCAGGGAAATGCTTTCTTTCATTTTTATGAATAACTTTGTAGAAGTATTATTTGCATTCCATAAAACTCACTCATTTTAAGTTAGGGGAGTTTTAGTAATTTTATATAGCTATCTATACACTCATTACCACCAGCCAGTTTAGAACATTCTCCCTAAAAGTTGCCCCACGCCCATTTGTGTTCAATTCCCACGTCTATCCCTGGCTCAGGCAATGGACAATCTGTTTTGTCGCTGTAGTTTTGCCTTTTTAGAAATCCCAAGTAAATAGGATCTTAAACTATGGGATTTTGTTTTTATATCTGTCTGGCTCCTTTCATTTAGCTTAATGGTTTTAAGGTTTATTTGTGTCATTACAGCATGCATCAATTCTTCATTCCTTTTCATTATTGAATACTATTCCATTGAATGGATATGCCACATTTTGTTTATCTAGTCACTTGTGAAATAGACTAGTTTGCTTCTAATTTTGGCCGTTATAAATAATGCTACCACTGACATTTACATATTGTACAAGTTTTTGTGAAGACATATGTTTTTGTTTGTTTGTTTGTTTTGTTTTTTACTTGAGTAGATACCTTGGAGTGAAATTACTGGGTTCTAGGGTAAGTCCATGCTTAACTTTTTAAGAAACTGCCAACTGTGGGAAAAATGCATTCCAAACTCATAATAACTCACTTAGAAACAAGCTTTCAGAAGCCACCCTTCTCGCATGTATGGCACAGTGGTTAAAAGTCCAGATTTTGCAGTGAGATCCTACAGATTCAGACTGTACTTCCGCCACTAAAGGCTACATGCCCTTGGACTGCATGACTTGTGCCTCAGTTTCCACTTTTGTAAAGGGGATAAGAAATGAGGTGATTGTGAAGGCCGAATGAACTTTCAAGTAAAGCATTTACAACACTGCTGACTCCTTGTGTCATACAGTTTCAGCAACTTTTAAAAATCTAATTAGTTGAGCGGAGGGCCTGTGGGACAAACAGCACCATTCTTGGGAGTCCGCAGCCATGGAAGGACTGCCATGGATTTGCCAGTTACAGCCATGCGGCAGAGCAAGTCAAATCCGGTTCCCAGCACTGCTGGCTATTTGGATCCTGTGACTTAGTGGAAGGTAACTGCATTGTAGACTGCACAATGTCCCACAGATGCAAGGGACTCATGTTGTAATTGTGACGTTGGAAGTTGTGGGGCCCTTAAAGCCTTCTCCATCTGCAAAGGTCCTCTAACAATACCATGATGGTCAAGAGCAAGGAATCTGGAGTTAGACTCTCTTTCGAACCCTACCCCAGCCACTTGGAAGGTTTGTAACTTTGGATCTCAGCTTCCTCATCTAAAAAACAGAAATGATAATAGTCCTCAATCCCACCTCCTGGGTGACCATGAGGACTAGAGGAATGAAACACAAACCTGTTTGCATCTCCTCCTGAACAAATGAAGTGTTTAAGTGTTAGCCATGTTAAGCTGCATGCACATTTTCATTGCAGGAAGACAGTTCACATTTCCAGGAATTCACATCAAATTCCCCAAAGGACATTGAATACCTCTCAGGTGTAAGAGGTCCACCCTGGACCCTTCTCAGCTCCTTAGGGCTCCCTGACTCTCCCCTGTTTGGATTATGGATGGGTGCAGGACTTCCCGTGTTAGGAAAAGCCCTGAGCCGACATCAAGGGGTCCTGGCTACAAATGAAACACTGAAGTTATTTTTCCCAGATCCCTCTTCCCTTTGGGGAAGTAGGGCTTGCAGCAAAACTCACAAAAGACCAGGAAACCCAGAGCTGCCCTCTGCCACTGAGTTGGCAGTGCCCTATATTACATGCAAAATTGCAGTGTTCTCCCATGGGCCATGGTGCCCTTTGATCTGCAAGAAATGTCAGGCTGGACGCTTTGGCAGGAAAAGCAATCGCAGCATTTGGGTCTTGCTCCCAAGGCAACAATGATGTGAGCTGTCCTGGTCTTCTTCCAGCACACAAAGAGTTAACCAAGGCCACTCACTCAATCTCATTTCCTTTAGTGGGTGGGAGGTTGTTTCCCATCTACTCCCCTATTCAACTGAGGCTGTATACTGATCCCCTAATTGCACAAGGGGTCTGAAGCTACTGTAGGGAGAGCTGCATCTGGAAAGGGCTGAGCAAGGACAGGAGGCTGGAGACCTGGGTTCAAGTCCAAGCTTTTGGACAGGCCACTTCCTAAGCTTCTCCCTCAGTGCCCTCTTCTGTAAAACTGCCTGAATTGCTTTGCCACGCACAGCTATTGCAAGGAGCAAGCAGTAATTCTGTTACTTATTTTGCGCCTGGTTTATGCCAGGAGCATGGGAAGCACATGATTTAGAAGCTCTCCTTTCATCTTCACAGCATCAGTCCTAGGAGGTAAAGTGGCCAAGTTAGTTTCCACACTCGATGCGAAAACCGAGGCAGGATGGTGAAATACAAGGTCACCCAGCCTAACCACAATTTAAACCCAATCCCACTGACCCTAACTGAGACCCATTTTAACTCAGACCCCATTCTTTTCCCCACCTCTCTGGGTCCTGATGGGGAAAACTGAGGCCCAGGGAACAGAAAGGAGCAGGTACCCTGGCTCTCAGCTTCCCTGTCTTTCCATCATCCACGAAGACACCGCTGCCCGATGGGTGTGACTCTAGTCACTGGAAGCCATCCAGTTCCGTTATTTCCTGTGCGGCAAAGGCTCCAGGTGTACCCGCTGCTAGTCGTGCTTCCCTCACCTGTGTATGCAGAGGGCACCAAACTCTACCTGTACCATGAACCAGCCAGCGCGCACGACCTGAGCGCGTGGTGCGCTGAGCCTAACTGTGGCCGCGGACCCGGCGCCGTCACTGTGCTTCCAAAGACCCTCCTGCCCGAGACTGTTAGAGCCCTGTGCAGCTCACACCCACGGGGGCCCAGAGAGCACTCTATCCGGCCCAGAGACTCCGTTCAAAGCGGGAACCCTTGCACGACGGTAGGCAGGACCTCAGAGCGCAGAGTGGCGAGGACTCCCTTTTATGTCCAGGAATGAGGCGCGCACCGCAGCCGCGCCCTCCGCCAAAACCAGCTTTCCGGGGCGCGGAGGCAGCGGTGCCAGTTTTGGGTCGGGTCACTTACCTGTAGGGACGCGGGTCTGGGTGACAGCGGGGAGAAGCGCGGAGACCAAGAGCAGCGGCAGCAGGCGCCGGCTCTGCCCGTTCCTCCTGCAAGAAGTAGCGGAGGGAGAGTCCGTGAGGCAGGGGAGAGGGTCGGAGGGAGCCAGGGCGCGGGAAAGCGGGTCCTACCTTGGCGCCATCTGGCGGGTCTGCGGGGCGCCCGGAGGCGCGCGGCGAGTGGGGCAGAGTGGTTGGGCTCCGGAGAGGACCGGGGCGCTCGCTGAGCGCTGGCCGCCGCGTCGTCCTGCCTGCAGG